ATATCCCTCTGAACACCAGAGGGCGTCTCACACCCACACACACCACATATCCCTCTGAACACCAGCGGAAATCACACACACCACATATCCCTCTGAACACCAGCGGACGTCTCACACACACACACACACCACATATGCCCCGCCGCAGAAGTACAATAACACGCATCATTCCAGGGAATCTCTATGGCATCACACTCTCTGTGTCTGAATAAACAGAAGACTGAAACGCTGTGATGAAACATGAGTAATAAACACACGACTGCCGTATTCTGTGTGAGAAGCGCATCATCTCACAGGAGGACGAGCTCAGCTGTCCTGATGAAGTGAGTTTGGAGTAAAAGCGTGTTATTAAATGTCGTCTTTTGTTGCACAAGAGGTTCATAAATGCGTCTCATGTCTGGAAAGATGTTTGATCTGTTGCTTTTGCTCGTTATAAGCGACTGGAACTCGCGGTGCTTTCAGAGTGAGCCGTGTTTCCTGAGCCGTGCTTCACTGACACGCTGCACATAACTGACAATCACAGGATCGCCACTTCATACTCGCCATAAGCCCACTCCATTAAAGTGCGATTAATCGTGCAGCCCTAATGTGTGTGTATAATACTACATGCACATAATACTCAGATGATGTGTGTGAGTCAGCTGTGGTTCTCGACGTGATCCAGCGGTGTGTGTTGCTCTGTGTCGTCAGGTGTACAAGGACTCGTTCGAGCAGCGGTTCTTAACGGAGACGACCCGTCTGTACGCCACAGAGGGACAGAGGCTCATGCAGGACAGAGACGTGAGAGCTGTTCCTCCTCATTCACACACACACACACGCGCTTCACGTGTGCGCTCTGATGTGTGTTTGTTCTTCACAGGTTCCCGAGTATCTTCATCATGTGGCGCGGCGTCTGGAGGAAGAGAACGACCGGGTCATCAGTTATTTAGATCAGAGCACACAGTGAGTCTCAGTGTGTGTGTGAGTGAGTGTGTGAGTGAGTGTGAGTGAGTGTGTGAGTGAGTGTGTGAGTGAGTGTGTGAGGGAGTGAGTGTGTGAGTGAGTGTGTGAGTGTGTGAGTGAGTGAGTGAGTGTGTGAGTGTGTGAGTGTGTAAATGAGTGTGTGAGTGAGTGTGTGAGTGAGTGTGTGAGTGAGTGTGTGAGTGTGTGAGTGAGTGTGTGAGTGTGTGAGTGAGTGTGTGAGTGTGTGAGTGAGTGTGTGAGTGAGTGTGTGAGTGAGTGAGTGAGTGTGTAAATGAGTGTGTGAGTGAGTGTGTGAGTGAGTGAGTGTGTGTGTGAGTGAGTGTGTGAGTGAGTGTGTGAGTGAGTGTGTGTGTGAGTGTGTTTAGTGTGTGAGTGTGTGAGTGTGTGAGTGTGTGAGTGAGTGTGTGAGTGAGTGTGTGAGTGAGTGAGCGAGTGAGCGAGTGAGTGTGTGATTGAGTGAGTGTGTGAGTGAGTGAGTGAGTGTGTGAGTGAGTGAGTGAGTGAGTGAGTGAGTGAGTGAGTGAGTGAGTGTGTGAGTGAGTGAGTGAGTGAGTGAGTGAGTGAGTGAGTGAGTGAGTGAGTGAGTGTGTGAGTGAGTGAGTGAGTGTGTGAGTGAGTGAGTGTGTGATTGAGTGTGTGAGTGAGTGTGTGAGTGAGTGAGTGAGTGAGTGAGTGAGTGTGTGAGTGAGTGAGTGAGTGAGTGTGTGATTGAGTGTGTGAGTGAGTGTGTGAGTGAGTGAGTGTGTGATTGAGTGTGTGATTGAGTGTGTGAGTGAGTGTGTGAGTGAGTGAGTGAGTGAGTGAGTGAGTGTGTGAGTGAGTGTGTGAGTGTGTGAGTGAGTGTGTGAGTGAGTGAGTGAGCGAGTGAGTGAGCGAGTGTGTGTGTGAGTGAGTGTGTGAGTGAGTGTGTGAGTGAGTGAGTGAGTGAGTGAGTGAGTGAGTGAGTGAGTGAGTGAGTGAGTGAGCGAGTGAGCGAGTGAGTGTGTGATTGAGTGAGTGTGTGAGTGAGTGAGTGAGTGAGTGTGTGAGTGAGTGAGTGTGTGAGTGAGTGAGTGAGTGAGTGAGTGAGTGTGTGAGTGAGTGAGTGAGTGAGTGTGTGTGTGAGTGTGTGAGTGAGTGTGTGAGTGAGTGAGTGTGTGAGTGAGTGTGTGAGTGTGTGAGTGTGTGAGTGAGTGTGTGAGTGAGTGAGTGAGCGAGTGAGTGAGCGAGTGTGTGTGTGAGTGAGTGTGTGAGTGAGTGTGTGAGTGAGTGAGTGAGTGAGTGAGTGAGTGAGTGAGTGAGTGAGTGAGTGAGTGAGTGAGTGAGTGAGCGAGTGAGCGAGTGAGTGTGTGAGTGAGTGAGTGAGTGAGTGTGTGAGTGAGTGAGTGTGTGAGTGAGTGAGTGAGTGAGTGAGTGAGTGAGTGTGTGAGTGAGTGAGTGAGTGAGTGTGTGTGTGAGTGTGTGAGTGAGTGTGTGAGTGAGTGAGTGTGTGAGTGAGTGTGTGAGTGTGTGAGTGTGTGAGTGAGTGTGTGTGTGAGTGTGAGTGAGTGAGTGAGTG